TATATAAAAGTTCAATGTTATTAATGATAAATATTATTAATATAAAATATAAAAAAAAAACTACATAAATATTTATTTTGAATATTTACCATACAAGGATTAACAGTCAAAGGACTTTTTACGAAATCTAGTTGTATCAAAGAACACTTTAAATTATTTTCTTCATTTTCATTTTCTTCTATTAAAGTAGGACTTGGAGATTCTCTTAACATCCAAAGCTGATAACCTTCAGCAGACCATTCCTAATATATATAAGAAATAAAATTAATATATATTAATAACTAAATTAAATAAATTCACTAACCATTGTATGAATATGCAAAGGATTATCATGTGCCAAATCTACTCTTAAACCATAATCCCATTTTAAACTACACAGTAAAAGAGCACCAAATGTACTCCATATTGCTAGGCCACCACCTTCCCAAGCCAATGCAATAGCACAACTATCAGGGGTCCATCTCAAACATCTTACACGACCTGGTCTTCCTGGATAATCTTTGGAAGATAAACTTAATGTATGTGACATTTCTAAACTTCCAGTTGTTTCATCAACATAGTACACTACACCTTCAGAACTAATAATAAAATATACATTATAAATAAGTCATAGATTTCTTTAAATGAATATTAAAATTATTAAAAAAAATATACTTTTGTCTCCCAATTGCAATAAGACGATATTTATGATTTACAGCTGCACAAGTAGCATCATCAACATCTCTAGCCCAAATTCCTTGTACTTGCTAAAAAATAATATTATTGTAAAATATTTATTTATAAATTTAAACAAAATAATTAACATACATTAGGATCAAATTTTAATGATTGTGCTGTGAGAAATGCTGCTTTGCCAGTATTGAGCACAATTGCAAATCCACCAACTAAAGGAGAATATTCAATATCGGTAACATACACATTATTCTCAGTAAGTGGTATAGCTACAGTAGATATTTGTTGATCTACACTAAATGGTATTCTCCTTAAATCAAGAGAATAATCTCGATTTACTGTCCCATCCCATTTATGACGTATTACATGACTGGTTTTTGTAGCTACCATAAGCTCATCACGTATACAAACTAAAGAACTAATTCCACCATCTATCCAAGCTGATTTTTCCTAAGTAAAAAAATAATTTGTTTAATAAATTATCCATATAAATATAATCCATATAATAAAAAATATATTTATATTATACATTTACTTACAAATGTTAAAACTAAGGAAGGGATAATTTCTTTGATAAAAAGTTCAGCACTATCTCTTTTTAAACTGGTAACTGGAGAATCTCTCTGTTCATAGAGACCTCTTCCTTCTGGGCTGGTGTCTTGCAATCGATAAAATAACAGGTAACTATCTGTTGTCTGAAAATAAATTAATAATATAAAATTTCTTTTTGTATCAAAATTTAATTGATTATTATTTTTCATACCGCAATGACAATCATGCTGGAATCTGGTCTCCATTGTACCAAAATATTGTCACCATGTTTCTTTAAAGAATCTATAGTTCGTCTAATAAATACAATGGGTACACAAGGCTAGAAAAAAAATGACAATCTATGTCTGTTATCTATATATACTAAAAAAGTACATGTTTTTTTATATTTACAAATTTAATAAGAAAATTAATTTTATATACAATAATACAATAAATGAACACTTTTATAATATATAACAATTATAATATAATAATATAAAAGAAATAAAGTTATGAAATATTTATTAAATATAATTTTTAATGATAAGAAAATATGCATTTAATGTTTAGTATTAATCATAGAAAATAATTATTCGAAACGCATAGGAAAATTACGATACGTATAATAAGATTATTACGCTCAATTTATAATACCTTACAATACCAGATGGTAAGAGTATCTGTTGTTAAGACTGCGAAAAGTATTTTATCCCTGTTGCAAACAACCGCAGTTATTTTTTCTGGATCTATCGTATTTAGAACTCGCGGCCATCCAATAGGAAAAAACATGATTTCGCCTTAAGATTGTTTATTTTTTACGTTCACATTCCTGTTATATTTAAGTTATCTTTGGACTTCATATATTGTCTCAAAGAATCTGACAAGTAAACATATCCTAACCTCATCATCTTACGCATAGCATAAATATTAACACCACAGACTAAGGATTAAATAGAGTTCTAACATCTAATGTAGCCCAGTAGTTACGTAGCATCCATTACCATTCTTGTGTCACATGCGACAATATCGATTTAGAAAAGAATGAAATAACAGCGCCATTGGAATAAAAACATGAAAGCAATTAGGAGAATGTAATATGTAAAAAAGTGGCACTATATATAAAATCACAAATTTTTATTCAAATTTTGCTATTTTATATTAAAAGAATACATTTTAAAATAATTAATATTATTCTATGCTAAATTAGAATGGTGATTTTACTACATTTTATTTAAAAGTTAAATAAAAAACTAAATTGAAAATTTTTCAATCAAGAAATTAACGCCATCTCGTGTTTGGATCAACGAAGTTTCGATTTGTTATTAACATAGTATAATAGATAAAGAGGTATACGAATTCGCCTGACATCGTAAACAAGAAAAGTAATATTGTGCGAGAAGGACAAAAAATATTTTTCGTCATTTTGACGAAAACTGACGAAAACATAGAAAATTAATTAATCATTCGTTTTCTATACAAAATTTTTATACTTTTAAACTTACATTTTAAAGTTAAAAATTCAGGCAAATTTCTCGTATCAATTTTAATGTAAAATTCTTTTTCAATAATTATTTATTAACGATTAATTTGTTATAGATTTTAACATCGATGACACCATATTGAAAATTAATTAATTATACTTTTTCTGATAAAAATTTATATTCTTCGAAGTTTATATCTTTAAATTTTTTAATATTTAAAATTTTTTATAAGTTTCTGTCAATTTTTCAATTTTATCAATCAATTCTATCAATATGAAATTTTCTTTAATTAATTATTTATTAACAATTATTATTTATTATTATTTATTAACAATTATTATGAAAAATGTTTCAATCGCTAATCCCCCACTTCGTAATCGAGTAATAAATAATATTGCGTCGTTTTGATATGACGTTAATAAATTATTAATTAAAAAGTATTTAATATGAGAAAATATAATATGAGAAACTTGTCTAATATTCTAGTTTTAAAATGCGAGCTTAAAAATGCAAAAATTTTTAGTGAAAAACTAGTAATTAATGAATATTTAATATGGCGATCTTCGATATATTAAAACGATATGTTAATCATTAATAAATCATTAATAAAAAAGAATTTCACATTAAAAGTGATATAAGAAATTTATTTGAAGTTCTAATTTCAAGATAAGAGCTTAAAAGTATAAAAATTTTGAATAAAAAACGTGTAATTAATGTGTAATAAATTTTTCATATGCAATCAAATTAGCGGGAAATATTTTCTGTCTTTCTTGTACAATGATGTTTTCCTTGTTTGTGACGTCATGCAAATCCGAAAACCTCCTTGTCTATTCTGCTATGCTAATAATAAATCGAAGCTTCAATGATCCAAACACGAGATGGCGTTAATTCTCAATTCTCATTTTATCTTATTCAAAAAATGTTTTTAACATTCGAAAGATGGCATTAATAATCAATTCTTCAATCTTATTTCTATCCTTCTCCCATTATTTGCCTTCCTTGCGCGTGATCATAAATGAAGTGGGGCGAGAGAGATGATATGAATTAAATATACTTTTATCATTTCTCTTTAAAAATTACATTGTATCTTATACGTAGATATAAATTATAAGAACATGTATTTAATATATTTATAATCAATATTTTTTAAAAATATAAAATTTTTTAAAAAATTTTTTAAAAATATAAAATAAAAACACATAAAATAATCATCAATTTATTTATATAGATGTAATTTAAATAACATTTAATAGAATTATTCAAAATGTAATATAATATTGATAAATTTGGAAAATTATTGTATCGATACATCTTTTGCAAATATTTATCCATTGATTATTATTATTTATAACGAATATTTTTATATTATTTTAAAATATTCAAATATATTGCTGATCGAGTATCACGAATATATAATTTGTTTAACATAAATATGTTCTACTTCGAAGTCTGTACATTATTCATAATATCACAGAACCTCATCATCGAACCTTTTTATAAACCATTGTTTACATATTTAGGATAAATTCGACGCTTACATCATATTATTACTATTATTATTACAATATTATTATTTACATTTTTTTCTATGCATAAATCACGTATTAAATATTATATAATTAAAATAGATAAATAAGATCCTATAAGTATCCTTTTAAATACATTCATTTTCGGCGATTATGTATAGCCAAAATATTAAACATTTTCAAAATTATTTCGAAAAATTAAATAAAAATAAAAATTCCAAAAAGTATAATATTTCTAAGAAGAATAATTATTGTTGTATAAAATTTAATTTGCTTTAAACGATTACTTTTGTAACAAGATTATTAAAATAGCATATATACAATTTCTAAAGCCAAGTATACCGAATCAATAATTACACTTGTAAGTGTAATTATATGTATATAATTGAGTATATTATCTTATTTAATTTCGAGCAAATATCTCGATTATTCTCCAAAAATCTTTCGTATAAATATATAAATCTTTAAAATTATTCTTTTTTTTTTTTTTTTGTTTCTTCTTTTTTAATCTATTTGGAATAACAGAGAATTGACCATTCAACAAACAGAACAGAGAAATCGATAAACATAACCAGTCTATTCACGATGAAAAATATTCTTAAAAGTAATTGATATTTCTAACAAGTGGGTTCCATAGTTGGTGACATAATATTCATTTTCATAGGTCGGCCAAATCCACGCGTTCCATCAGGTCCAGATGGCATTCTCGTCACGTTTTCTGGTAAATGTGTCAACGCTATACCACTATTGCTCCTCGGTCGACAATAACCTCCCTGCTCAGAACCAGACGAGCATAGAGACAATCTTCTGGAACTTGAATCGAAAGTAGAATCTCGGCTGCAAGCAGATAATCTTCTCAAAAATGGGCTGTAATCCGCAGACCCACGGCGACTAGAATGATAACAAGCACTACTGCATTCAGAACCGGAACTCGAGCAGCAAGAAAAACGCCGATTCTCTTGATAATAGTAATTTGGCGGGAAAACTGGATGACAGTAACCGGTCTCAGAGCCGGAAGAGCAAGCAGAGTAACGTCTGCCGAAACTTCCTACCTCTGAACCGGAACCAGAACAAGAGGACAAACGACGAAGAATAAAACCATTCTCTGAGCCCGAGATCGAACAAGTGGACAATCGACGAGATAACCATGCATCTGGTGATGGAGGTCCTGTAACAATAATAGCCGATATGAAGTTTAAAAAACAAAATAGATTTTGATAATTGTATTTTTTCTTTTATATATATATATATAT